CAACGCACAGACAAACTTCCAGCCACAGACGCCCGGCTGTGCACCCTCAGTGCTGATTATGTTCATCAACATGATGCTGTTCAAGAACACACCGCCCTCGAAGGGCTGCAATGAGTTCATGTTCGAGTCACAGCCGGATCTGCAGAAGACCTTTGTCATCATTGGCCTCATTTGCATCCCATGGATGCTGCTCGGCAAGCCGCTCTACATCAAATTCACACGCAAGAACAATGCTCACGTGAGTGCAGAGTGCACAGTGCACAGTGCACATCTCCTCGGGGAATACACTTCATTGACTTTCTTCTTTGCTTTCGTTTAGTCCAAACAGAATGGCCAGCTGACTGGCAACATGGAGCTGGCCGATGGCGAGACACCTCTGCCCACAGGCTTCTCTGGCGGCGAGGAGAGCGGCGGCGGCGGCCACAGTCACGAGGATGAGCCCATGAGCGAGATTTACATTCATCAGGCCATTCACACCATCGAATATGTGCTCAGTACCATCTCGCACACGGCCTCCTATCTGCGTCTGTGGGCCCTGTCCCTGGCTCATGCTCGTGAGTTAACAGCAACTTTAGCCATGTAAAAAGTTAATCGAATCTAATGACAATCCTTGCTTGCAGAGCTCTCTGAGGTGCTGTGGAACATGGTGTTGTCGCTGGGCCTGAAGATGTCCGGCGTTGGCGGCGCCATTGGCTTGTTCATCATTTTCGGCGCCTGGTGCCTGTTTACCCTCGCAATTCTCGTGCTGATGGAGGGTCTGTCCGCCTTCCTGCACACGCTGCGTCTGCACTGGGTGGAGTTCATGAGCAAGTTCTATGAGGGCCTGGGCTATGCCTTCCAGCCATTCAGCTTCAAGGCCATACTCGATGGCGAGGAGGAGGAATAAACCGAATCGACAGCCTGCCCCTGCCCCTGCCCACTCTGGCATGAATAATTACCAAGCCGAACTTTGTTTTTTTTTCCAATTTATTTAATTTGTTTTGTTGAATTGTTTTTTGTGTTTTTTTGTTTATTTTTTCGGACATTGTCAGTATTGTGGTGCTCTTCCCACAACCCCTCCCCACGTCACTTCCCTTACAATTTTCCGCTTTGTTTTTCCATCCGGGGTCCGCAAAGTATTCCCACCCAAGTTGTGCCTAGTATTCTCAAAAGGAACAGTTTCAAAAGCAATAATTTGATATTCATTGTTATAAAATAATAATAATAATTGTAATAAATATACAGCAACGAAGAGAATGGAAATGTATTTATTTATTCTTTAGTTGATTTTGGAGCAGTAAGTATTACTTATAACTATAAGAAATTATACATTATTTGGGGGTTTCTGGCGATCATTAGATATGATATAATAGTCTCGAGTTATAAGTCCATATTTTGATGTATTTCTTTATCGATTCAACTGATTGATTGTAAGGTTTCGGCATTTATCTGTGCCAATTAATCAATAATGGCATGGAATTTTTATCAATGCAATGCATTTTTTATCAACGAAACGCTTACAAATGATTACATTTATGTAATGTAAATAAATGTAAGTACATATTTGCATTGCTCTGATTAGAAGTCGCTGAAGTTAATTGATTGATTAAATATGTTATCTAATTCTTATTTTAAGATAATTGCCTAGACAAACTGGTGGAGACTGCAGCAAACTATTGTCTAGTGGGATCATTACATATAAAATATTAGCTGCCATAAATCGGAGCAGATCAAGGATGAAAGTGTCACAAACCGTACATCACAAGGCCCACCATCAGCTGATGACCAAGCTGACCAAAAGTTGTCCTTATTGTTTCCCCCGTGCCTACCAAGAACTTTCCTTGTTGCAGTCACTTGACCAGGGCGCACAGTTTGTCCGCGAGCTGGCGAGGGACGGTCACAAGTTGCTTGACCTAAGAGACGACATCCCGCCTGCGCCCAAGCGTCATCAATCGGAAGAGGGAGTACGGGTGATAATGTGGGATAATGTTTACAAGTTGTTGTTTGACCACACACATGTAAAAAGCGCATGCACACACACACACACTGGGTCGAGACTGGGGTGAAAGGAGATAAGCTGGCTGTGAGAGGAAAAATAAGCTGCTGCTGCTGCTTAAGATAACAGACATTTCATCAAGTCTCAGCTGCATATGAAAGCGAACATGTAAAGAACATTGTAACGCAAAATCGAGCAGAACCCGTGCAGAGATTTCAGGACTAGAATGGTTTAGAGAAAGGACCATCAATAAACAATGCGTGGACGAGTCTTTGGATTTCGAGCTCGCGTCCTGCTGGCAGTCGATGTTTGAAAGCAACGACAAGATAACTACATTGCAGACACTGTTCAAAGAGGCAATAGATTACCTTTTGGTAAACATTTAAGGAGGCTATTAAGTTGTAAGTCATTCAGAGACTGGACGTTCAACGTTGATACATTTAATCACACTCTCGGAATAGTATAGAGGTATGGTCTGCTCCGGTATGTTTACGTTGCAGGACATCGTAAATGTATCAACGTTCAACGTCCAGTCCCTGAATGTACTGGGGCAATTTATATAAAAATGTGTGGATTTTTACTAATAGGTAATCTATTTCCTCCTTGAACAGTTTCTGCAATGTAGTTATCTTGTCGAAGCTTTCAAACATCGATTGGATGATGGAAGATGGAAATTGACAGGATCGTCTCTAAACCACTGCAGTCCTGACATCTCTGTACGGGTTCTGCTCGGTTTTGAATGTCAATACTCATTGCATGTTCGCTTTTATAGCTACACCAAGTTTCGCTAGCAATGTCGGTCTATCAGAACGAGTGGAATGATATTTCTTCTTCTTTTGTCTACACCACGTCAATCAAGAGTGACAAGAGTATAACGCTTTGCATTAGAGATGCCACAGGCTGAAGATAATAAGTTTTAAGATGCATGTGAAAAACTTGATTTTTCTTATTGTTTTATTTTGTATTTTGTTAATCCCTCGGTACATCCATCATTTGTAATCTATCTGATTGTCTGAACTCTCACGACCTTTGTTCTTATTCGAACTACAATGTTAGTTCTTGAGAAGAGTATTAAGTTGAAGTTGAAAAACCAATGTCAACTCAATCTTAAATCATTTCAAACGAATATGAAAACTTTACACTCAACAATGTGTGATGATGATTATGATAAATAACTAAATGAAATAATAAATAATTATAGTTGAGTGAGTTTCAAGAACGAGACAGTTGAAATAGTGCACTTGGAGGTGAATATAAATAAATATTATCCAACCTATGGATAAAGGACTCCAATTACATTTGTTTACCGAGAAAAATATTAAATACAAAAGCATGTATTAATGTGATTAACAATGAGGCTTATTGTTTTAAATGTGCATTAAAATCAGCCTTCGCTAAAGTTGGTGCAAAAACGATACAAAAACAAATCAAATACAGTCGACCCTTTCTAAGTGTCATAATTTTGTATGATAGCCTACATAACAATGTTTCAAAATGTCTCAGCAGCAGCAGCATCAGCTTCTTCTTCCACTCACAGCCAGATTATCTCCTTTCACACCAGTCTCGACCCTCGGCCACGGGTGTGTATTCGTTCGTTTATTCCACTAGTTTTTACACCCGGTACTCGAAGAGTAAATAGGGTTTATTTTATTTGTGGGTAATAACGGTTGTATGTAACGCACAAAAGGAAACGTTTCCGACCCCACAAAGTACACATATGTATATATTCTTGATCAGCATTAATAGCCGAGTCGATAGAGCCATGTCTGTCTGTCCGTCCGTCCGTCTGACCGTCCGTCCGTCTGACCGTCTTGTTTGTCGGCTAGTTCTCAGAGGCTATAAGAGCTAGAGCCACCAAATTTTGGCTCCAGACTGCTGTATGCTCACACTGTTACAAGTGTATTTCAAAAATGAGCCCCCGCCCTTTTCCGCCCCCGCAAAAGGCCGAAAACATCTCAAATCATGGGATCCATTGGATCATTGGGATCCGATTGGATCATTACTATAGGCACAATGAAGAAATTAATTTCCAGTGGCATTTTTTGTTGTTCTTCTCACATTCTCTCATTTACAGTGTTCGGCCGCTGCCTCTGCCTCTGCCGTGAGTCTCTAGTGTGAGGGTCTAGGGAAGGGGGGCGAGCTAAAGGAGCGCGTTGGCGTGAGTAGTGTTGTTAATGCAGATGACAGATGAAGAAAAAACCCCGCTAAGGTACAGATGTAGGACTGAGTACCGGGTATAAAAGTTGTGACGCCTCAGAAACCTCTCACACGTCCCTTCTCGTTACACTAGTGGTTATGATGCTTGAGTGCGGGCCGTGTTCGGGAGTGGGCGCCCTCCGCTTTTGAATGTCGCGCAAAAAGTATAACAAGCTTTTGCGACAAGCTTTTTCAGATACGGCTTTTAGAAATAGCTTTTTTCAGAGGCCGCATTTCAAATTGCTGCAGAGAATATCAAACTGCAGTTTGTTGTGAGCTTTGCAGCTATGTCTCTCTCATTCTTCCCTCTGCCTGAGCGCGCAGCCTCGTTGGCATGAAAGCTCCACGCGCAGCCTCACACACATGAAAGCTTTACGTGCAGCCGCACATACATGTAAGCTCTACGCGCAGCCAATGCGCTGGCCAAAAACCAAGTCCCGTTAGAACTTCCTAAGGCCAGCCCCGCTCTGTGCCTTCACCTTTGTACCTCTTTTGACCCTGATCGAGGACCACTACAGAGGTCTGACCCAATGCAACCCCAACCTTATTGGGTCAACGTATAAGTCATCCATTAATAAAAATTATGGGCCACCACGGCCCACTTTTGCGACGTGTTTTGGTTTGGTCTATGGCTCTGTGGTTTGGGTTACGGTCTGTCCAAGTGTAAAAAGGTCAGCTTGGCCGCATTGAGGGCAGAGCTCAGCGGAAAATTCTTGCCGAGGGCTGCAGATTTCTGTGGAATTGGCTTGGGAGCTGCGACAGCTGCGGAATCTGAAACTATTTCCCCTCGAATGTCGCCGCCTCGAGGTTATTTAGCTTGGCCCAGAGCGCAGCTCTCGACAGTTGTGGGCCAAACGAGCTCCCGGAAAGATCTCTCTAGTGAAAATGCAGAAACTTCTTTTGGCTGTGCTGCTGCTGCTGCTGCTGTGCGCCCTGCTGGCTGTCTGCCGAGCGGACACGATGGTGCAGCTGCACGTGAATCGTCCCTACAACGATGTCAGCGAGAAATTCGTGAGCTTTGCCGTGCGCCCGGAGGATCTGTACGATGCTTTGGACGGGAAGAACCGAAAGGCAGTGACCAGCATGGCCACTCTGCTGGGCGAGGCGCACATCAAGTTCGTGGGCGATTTTTACTTTGCCAGCAAAGCGCCCACACGCCTGCGCAATCCCACAAAGATCATATGGAAGGGCTTCAATCGTTGGACGCGGTAAGTTTGCTGGCTGCCACGGAGACACTGGAACTATCTTCTGTCCATCTTTAAGAGCTGTCAACTGGACCATGATCATACCCGTGCCGTATGCTCCGGATGAGTGGGACTCGATGCACACTCTGAAGATTCTAAACAGTTCCTACATGGTGGGCATCACGGACTGCATCTGGCAGCTGGGCACAGACTTTGGCACCTCACGCGCCAAGGATTACGTGCAGGAGCTGCGCACTCTGAAGCTAATGACGGACACCTTCAAGCCTTATGTGGACGACTGGCAGGTGATGGGCGCCGACATTTCAGCGGGCAGCAGTGCCGATGAGACGCGCAGATATGTGGACATGTCCAAGGATTTGAATGCAGCTTTCGGCTGGACGCAGTGAGTAGACACAAAGGATTCCCCTGCTCAACTATTGTAATGGTTTCCCCTTCTTAGACCCGCCAACATGCTGCCACAATCCAGCCTCGGCAGCTACATCTACGACAGTGATCCCGCGCTCAGAGCGCTTCAGCAGCTGCGCGTGCCCCTCTGGCTGACGCTGCCCGAGGAGCGCTCCTCCTCCAAGGTGGGTGACGAGACAACAGACGCTCTACGCTGGGCACAAACCCTGGGCGATGCGGCCAGCTCTGGCTTCGATGTGATCTTCAAGCGCATGTCGCTCGAGGATTTTCAACGCCCCACCTTCAGCCTGTATGTGACGGCGTTGTTCAAGAAGGTCATGGGCTCGAGGGTGTTCCCCGCTAGGCCGCTGAATCTCTTCTCGCCGAGCAACAAGCTCTACACACACTGCGCTAATGCGGTGTCTGGTGGCTTGGCCTTCATGGTGGTCAACACCGAGGATCAACCGCTGACCATCACAGTGCGAAGTTTGACGCGTCTCAGCAGCAGCGAGATCTGGCAGTATGTCCTCTCCGGTCTGGATGGTCGCGTGCAGCTGAATAATGTCCGCATGGGCCTCAACTCCACGCTGCGACCTCTGATCAAGTCCAATGATGCGGGCAAGCCGCTGCAGCTGGTCACGCCGAGCATGTCCGTGGGTTTCTGGGTGCTGCCCACGGCCAATCTGGAGCACTGTCAGTTCACGGAGATTGAGGCTGGGGATGGCAGCGGTGAGGCATCGACGGAGTCGAAACGCTCCAACCGCTACAGCTCCGCGGATCGACTGCTGCAGCGACTGATCGAGGAGACGGCCGTGGCAAAGGGTTCGCTGCAGAGCAGCATCAATCGGAATCGCCGCTTCGTGCTGGACACACAGGAAACGGATGCGCTGATAGATCAGCTCCTGCAGCCATTCAACCAGCAGACAGCTGCAGCTCCTGTGAAGCGAGAGGCGGACAGCCAGCAAGTGAAACCCCACGAGGCCATGGCCTGGCTGCACCAAGTGCTGGCGCAGACCCGCGACGTGGCCAAGCGACGCGACAGACGCAGCGCCTCCGGCTACGGCGGTCCCTACTTCTATAACCGACACGGCAAGAAGACGGCGCTGACCAAGAAGATCACGGAGATACGCAAGCCGGAGCGGAAGGCCAAGCCACTGTTTGACTTTGATGAGTTCGATGAGGAGAAGTTCTTCAAGAAGTTGGACGAGCAGCCGGAGGAGCCGCCCTCGTACACCCGCCTGCCCGAGGGCGATGTTCTGCTGCGGCACATCGAGTCGGTGGACGGGGAGGAGAGCGAGCAGGACGCTGAGCCCGTGGTCTACAGAAAGGCCAAACCGAAGTCGAAGAAAGAGCTGAAGATTATTCAACGATCGCTGGAGGAGGCAGAACCCGAACAGGACCAGGAGCAGGAGCAGGAGCGTGCCGAGGGACGCTCAAAGCTGCGACTCCTTCCCACGGAGTTCTTTGAGGCGCTGCCAGCGCCCAAGCAGAACAAACGCTTGAATCTCGGCGCCACTCTCAACTCGCTGCTCTTTCCCGAACCCTTCTCCAGCAAGGCCAGCATAAGCAAGACCCAGCCGGCGCCCATGAACACGCAGGAAGAGCCTGAGGAGGAGGTGGAGCCACTGGCCAAGCGTCGTCCCTCCAAGATTGGGCATGTGGCCAGCGACTTTCTGCAGGCGCAGCGCGAACTGGGCAAACATTTCCTCAGCCACATCCACAAGCACGAGCAGCCGCTGGAGGACGAGGCTGCCCAGGAGAGCTCCCTCGAAGCGGAGCCTGCCAAGAAGTCAACGAAAGGGGATTACTTTGGGTCGAAGCCGGCACTGGTGCCAGTGCCAAAGCCCAAGAGGCTGCGGACCCAGAAGCCCGACGAGACCATCACTTCCTGGTGGGACATGCCCGCCCTGCGCCGGCGACGCGCACTGCCTGTGGATCGTTCCAATGAACTCCGCTCCAACTCCATCGACAAAATGGATCGTGAGGATATGCTGCCACTGGGACGTTACTCCTTCTACGAATACAAAGTGGATCAGACGGTGGAACAGCAGTCCACAGAGCAGCCACCCAAAGAGTCAAAGATCATGAGAATCAGCAAGACCCGAGCCGGAACCCCAATGGCGAACCGCAAGACATCGCTCTCCGACACTCTGGTGTCCACGGTCAAGTCGAAGGTCTCCCGCTTCATGAACATTGTCTCGCGGCACATGAGCGAGTGGTACAACACTCTCACCAAGCACCTGGATGCCGAAACAGCCTCATCCCGGCCTGACCTTAGCAACAGCGGCAATGCCATCGATTAATATGTGAACTTTAGGGGCAAAGTGTAACTTAGTAATTAGTGTAAATATGTACAATACGATCTAAATATTCTTAGTGGATTTTCCTATTTCTCTACATAATGGAAGAAGGCAACAAGGCGAAGGTAGGACTAGATGAGCTTTTGCTTAAGCTCTTGCTAGGTCGATTAGCTTTTCATATTGTTCAGAGATCAAAGATATATGCTATGCTATGCTACTGTACATCAACCTAAAAGCAATTAAAATTAACTACAAATAACGCAAATAGAGTATGGGTTCGCTGCGTTCTATCTGTTACTTCAGCTGAAAAATCTGGGCATTTATTGAGTTGAATATGAAAGATATAATGAAAAGTATTGAAAGGGAATATGGCAGAAATATGCGTAAGCTTTTGAGAGTTTTAACATTAAATATTTAACCACAGATCCCTAGATATTATTTAAAAATCTCAGGGAATCTTTATTGCCAACAAGCGAGTCCTTTACTGTTTGTTTAATTCATGTTACCCCAGGAAGTGCACAAAATGTTGCTAAAATCTATTTTTGCATGGACCTGCCATATTGTTTGCTGCTTTTAGAAGGTATTTGCAGTAGTTTAACTTCAATTGAACTAACCTCAAAACCAATATGAGTTGTTCTAGTACAACTATTTTGGGGCACATCTTTAAAAGTCAAAGACAGAAACTATTTTGTTCCTACAAAATTCCACTTTTGTGATCACATCGATCGATGATGATCGATCCATCATCACTATATACAGCCCATTGAGTTAACGTTCAATAAATTGTTTTTTTCTGGTTCATTTACTCGTTTAAGTTTTATTTAAACAAATTTGTGTTGCCATAGAATTGAGCAAATTGGTTGGAAGACAAAATCCTAGTACGAATCCTGATCATTGAAAGTAGACACATATTAGTGGAAGCTACTAGTAGTAGTCAGATTTAAGTGCTCACTTGATTGACTTGAACTTTTTTTCAATGGCGCCCCGCTTGTCTCCCTATGCGAATTTTTATCTGCGGCAATCTTCCACCTGTACTCACGGTTATTAAGATTTTTAAAGACACACTCCTCATTATTGTCTGCGTAATTGTTCCGTAATTATCCAAGCTTGCAAAAGCACTCGCCAGAGGGCCAGCTCAACTCTCTCTCTCTCTCTCTCTCTGCACTTGATGTGACTTCGCTCTTCACGAACGAAACGAGCGGGAGAGCGCAGACTGGGCCGAAGACTGGCACAAAGAGGATCCACAGAGAAGCGGCATTGAATCAAAGCTTCAAGTTGTTCCGCCGGCCCGGCCAACCTGTTACCATGACCATAGCCAGCAACAACAACTGCAAGCACCGTGGGGGGAAAGAGTCAGAGTCACAGTGCGGGGGAATGCGGTAAAGCCGGAGCCACAGAAGAAAGAGCAGCGAAAAGCAACTATCATAGCGGCTATGACAATACCAATGAGCGGAGACGATCCACAGCCTCGGCTCCACACCGATCCGTCAGTCTCTGAGCAAGCGTTCAAGGCGAAGGTTGCTTCCAGCGTGTTCCATTCCATACCGTTCCACTCCGCACCAAATCCGCAGCTTACCGGAGCTAGTCCAAAGTGCAGGCCAGTTGTAGTTGCAGCAAACTATAGATCAATCCGGGACCTAAACAGGTGAGTGTGCCATAAACAGGCCAAGTGAACATCTTTGAAACAAAGAGGCTAAAACGGGTCAGTTCTCGTTCTCGGACTGCAGTCAGGGCGTGGCAGGGAGGGGAAGCGAGCGGCGCATGGAAGCGTAACCAGAGCCAGAGCCAGAGCCAGAGCAGTCTTGAAGAAATCTTTTTGTGACGTGGACAGAGAAAAACAAAAAAGAAAAAACACGAAACTCTGCAGCATGAAATTTCAGACTTTCTTTCTGTCTTTCCTTCCTTTTTCTTTCTTCTGTCTTTCCCCCCCCCCCCCCCCCCCCCCCCCCTCCTTCCGCCCCCCCTCTCCCTATTTTTGACGCTTCGTGTGCCGTCACCCCCCCCACGCGCACGCTAATCGATCACGAACTATTAAAAATAATTACGCACATGTGTGTGTGTGTGTCCGTGTGTGTGGAAAGTGAAAGTGTAAAATTTCAACATTACAAATCAATTTCATAGCTAAATATTGTAAAGCCAAACCGCTAGACGGTCCGGTAAGCCGATCAAAAAACCCAAAAACTAAAACTGGTTTGGGTCCGCTGTGGGATATTATATAAACTGATTTACATATTGTCACACACACACACACACACACACAAAACACATAACACACACAGAAAAAAGCATATTGAGATATCTGTCTAAGCCATAACATTATTTATAGGATGGGTTTCATCTTCGGTTGGTTGCCAACCGAGCACTATGTGCGCGACATCTTTCTCCTGACACTGTCGGCGGCCATTGCGGCCACACTGATGAGCATTCGCTTCTACTTGCGCATCACGGCGGGACGTTGTTTCACCGAGGTAACGCCAACCCAAACACCTCCACCCAAGCACTCACCCATTCAACCAACCCCAAAACGCTGAACTCGTGACTAGACTTGAACTGAGACTTGAACGCTCTATCCACTTCCGTTTGAAATTCTTTTGGGTTAGGGCAGAACATTCCTTGCACTTTCAAACAGGTATGGAGGCAGAGACTTATACTGAAATGTTCAGACTATTTACTATAGGCAATTGTTGCACTGCTTAAGTTACCTTATGAGAACTTGAGCTTTGTGTACATTGTAAAAATAATTAAAAGAGTGTTGCCAGCTGGCCTTAGATTACAAATGGATTGTATTTCGATGTATATAAAATACTCAATAACTAGGTGTAGGTTCTACACCTTATTCAGCGCAGAAAACTGACTGCAAGTGAGAGTTCAGTGGGGTTGTTGTGGCTAATGCTTTGGAAAGAATCGTTAAATGACACACGACCAGAACTGGCATAAAAGGCAATTAAATATTATTAACTAGAACTTTTAGCAGCTAGCCCCTAACGATTGTAGCTTAGTCTTTCTAGCACTTGGTTACTCGATCTAGACCGCATTTTCTCTTGCGAATCTCTGTGGAATTTGCATGTAATTGTAGGGCAAGACAATTGTGACGCGTCGACTTAATTACAACTTTTAATAGTTGCCAGCGAGTACGTCACATCTCTAAGAGCGGAACAGAGGGAACAGTTGCCACCTCGCAGTACATTAGACTCGTATATCGCAACTGTAGACTGTAGGTGGGTAGATCTTCGTCTCGATTACCAAATGAGAAAACTTGAGTCAGCGGAAAGTTCTCATCTTGAGCATGTGAGCAGCTCCCCGCCAAGTCAGAGCCTATAATCATAGTTTAATAATTGTTGCCGCATGGATTGCCCAGACCCGCCCCTAGACCTTGTTGACACCAAGACAGTCCTATTGCCAGTATTAAGTGATTAACTGATTAACTTCTGACATCGTTTACAGACCAAAATGGAGGGCAAGACCGTTATCATTACCGGCGCCAACAGCGGCATTGGCAAGGAGACAGCCAAGGATCTGGCAGGTCGTGGAGCGCGCGTCATTATGGCATGCAGGAATCTGGAGACGGCAAATGCAGTCAAAGGTGAGTTCAAGTCTTGAATAAATATCTGTACTAAAAGCTGCCTCTCCCATTGAACAGATGAAATCATCAAGGAGACAAACAACAGCAAGATTCTCGTCAAGAAGCTGGATCTGGGCTCGCAGAAGTCGGTGCGCGAGTTTGCCGCTGATATTGTCAAGACGGAGCTCAAGATCGATGTGCTCATCCACAATGCAGGCATGGCACTGGCCTTCCGCGGCCAGACCAGCGAGGATGGTGTGGAGCTGACCATGGCCACCAATCACTATGGTCCCTTCCTGCTGACGCATCTCCTCATCGATGTGCTGAAGAAGAGCGCCCCAGCACGCATTGTCATCGTCGCCTCGGAGCTGTATCGCCTGTCGTCGGTGAATCTGAACAAGCTCAATCCCGTGGGCAGCTTCCCTGCCGCCTATCTCTATTATGTGTCCAAGTTTGCCAACATTTACTTTGCCCGGGAGCTGGCCAAGCGGCTGGAGGGCACTCGCGTGACCGTGAACTTCCTGCATCCGGGCATGATCGATTCGGGCATCTGGCGCAATGTGCCCTTCCCCCTCAACCTGCCCATGATGGCCATCACGAAGGGTTTCTTCAAGACCACCAAGGCCGGGGCTCAGACCACCATCTACCTGGCCACCTCCGATGAGGTGGCCAATGTCAATGGCAAGTACTTCATGGACTGCAAGGAGGCCACGCTCAATGCCGCCGCCCTCGACGAGGAGAAGGGCCGCAAGATCTGGGAGGAGTCCCTCAAGATTGCCAAGCTGACGCCCCAGGATCCCAAGATCTAAGCTGGCAGCGGACTCGTTCCACATATAGTAGATTCTTTCGGCTTGTAAGCCAATTCAACTGATTTGATTTCTTTCTAATTAAGCGGGAGTTAACTGTAGCCGTAAGTTTTTCATTTAAATAAATAAAGTTCTGTAAAAATATTCAAATGGATTTGCCAGGAGTAACTAAGTGAGTTCTTGGTCTACATTCTGCCATCAATTAAGATGTTTTCTGTGGATAAGGAATGTGCCTATGGCCTTACACAATCACATATTCAATGGGTAAATATTTCAATACAGTGGTAGAGATACCAGAAATCACAAATAAGAATTATGAGTGGCAGCTTATTCTTGAGGGAAGACAGCTTATTGGGTATGCAAAAGCAGAAATCAAAATACAACCCGTAAGCAATACAAATACGTGAGCAAAGGACGCAATAAATGTTGTAATTTAAACTAATTTTAAGACTACCAGAATCCGCTCGTAGACTCAGATGCTGCCTGCTTCTTAGCCATTTTTGAATACGGCCTTCAAAGCTTGATGCAACTTTTTTTATCCGAAAACGCCAGACATAAGTGTCATGTAAAGGATGTCCAAAACCAGACCATTAACAGCAGGATAATCATAATAGAGTGCTGGTTTTACCGCCAGTTCATCTTGTGGTCAAAACTGTATTGGAACAGTTTTTTGATTAAATTGTAACACAAATCCATACCCAAGTAGACATGCAAAATGCGCAAATGTTTCCTTGTTGATGCACCCACAGAGATGGAAGTAATCGCTGAAACTGGAATAGCACAAAAATATTATAAATTGTAGCAATAAATGGCTCACAAATTCCTATTTTATCTTTCTACATTGCCACTCACACTGATCAATTCTGGTTTAATGAACTCCGATGCTCAGTTTCGGTTTAAAGACGAAAAGTAATTGCCGTGCCTGCTGGCAGAACACTCGGCTGGACACTCTCAAAAACGTTTCAATGTCAGTTCATGAGAATTATGAAAAGCGACAAATCACAGCGCCAATCGGTTCATGGACTCCGTAATCCGATCCGTACGATCCAATCCGATGGGGATGGTAGAAGGACGGCAGAAGGAGCTCTTCTGCTGACCAAAAAAATTCTCACCCAAAGCGCACCTCACCTGTTGAAGGAGAAGCGGTACAGGCAGGCAGGGGGAATACACAGGGGAATTCACAGACAGCCATAATCTGATAAAATTGCAGTCGCATCCTTGGCGAGCAGAGGGGTTGCGGTAGATTGTTATCATCGCCTCGTTTTGGCACGTGTCCTGCGCTGCTGCTGCTCAGTGGCTGGTGGCTGGCGGCTGGTGGCTGTGGCGGCGCCAAGCATAATATAATGATAATGATAATCATGATCTCGGTGGCTAATAATATGTGTAACAGGCGTAATTGAAATTTAATATTTATCCAAAGGATTACAGGATAAACATTTTGCGGTTTTGTGCCAAAAACACATCGCAGATAATGAAACGTGACTGACGGACGTCAGCACCGCAGATAATTGTCCAAGGGAACGCCCATGAGGGGTACGCCCATCTATGCGCTACTGTGGGAATTATCCTCCTCTTATGTTGTCTGCGGAAGTGATTCTCTAATAAAAAACAAACACAGAATTTCATTATTGGTTTGTATCTGTCACACGTTTGCAGTGCTCCATTGATAAGGGACAGGGCAAACCCTTCTGCTGCTCAGCAGGACGAGCTGCTGCTGCTGCTGCTGCTTCTGCTGCTCCTTCTGGCAGTGGCAAGTATCATCTTACAGAAATTCAATTTGGCGCGCTCCACTCAAGTGTAGCTGCAGGACGAACATGGCTGTGGCCAAGTTCAACTGTAACTCAAGTACTCCCACTCTCCTTCTGGTTTTGAATATTTCCTCTGCATTTAATAAGCTGGCTTGGGTTTTTAATAAGAAGTGGGCTATGCGACAGTCCCGAGCCCGGCTCGTACAGCTGTCAGTGCAGCAGCGACCGACTTCTGCTCATCATGCTCGCTCCTGTCCGGCAACGGCTGCAATGCCTGTCAAGCGGTCATCGATACTCCCGCGTAGTGGGGCAGGGGGCTCTCTCGTGGCAGTTGTTCCCTCAGACGCGTCGAAAAACTTCCAAATTGTAATCATAGAAACCATATATTGCACTTCAGTAGAACAAATTGTAGAAGGGGTTGCCAAATGTCATATATGCAGGAGCATTTCTTGGAAGTACTTTTTGACTACATAATTCTGGAACTAAATAAAGACTCCTTTAAATACATTCAATGAATGTCGAAGGTATGCATTATAAAGTTAAAATACTGCACGATATTTGCATCAAGCTGTAGAAATGGTAATTAATGTCTAGGTTTAATGCCAGAATTTGAAAACTGCCATTTTCTGGCAGATTTCTAGGCAACAGGAGCGTTTGGGATAATAAACTATGGCTGAAAGTGCTTGAAACATAATTACAAATGTACTTTCAAATTTTTCGCATTACATTTTACCTCATGAACCTCCGGTTTCATACAAAAACAATTATAGATTACATTAATAAATGTCATAAGTTTATCCATTATTTGCATCAATCTCTGAATTATTCGAATTACTAAGCCAACTCTTAGTTGATTAAATGACTCAAGCAGCGTCTGATTCAATTACCAAAAGGGAATCTCAATCTTGGCCAAAAATATTGCAAAATGAAACACCAGAAAGTGCCTTGCTGGCTGCTCCCTGCCACAGTTTGTGTGCGGGGTGCGGCGCCTGTTTGGCTCATTTTAGCCGGCATCAAATGTGACCGAATGGCATTAACATGTTGAATGACTTGAGTGGCAGCCAGCATAAAAAGCAAAGCGCAGCCCAAAACCCAGAGAAGCCGCAACAGTGCCACCCGAAAAGTATTTCATTGATTTTTGAAGCCTCGCCAATACACAACACAGAGCACAGAACAGAGAACAGAAACAGAAATATATACGGAAAAAAGGAAAATGAGTGAAAATACGCGTTGCTGTGTTGCTGTTGGCAACATTTGAACCCCAGCCGGGCAGCCTGGAAGCAGCAGGAGTGGGTGGACCAGATCATGTCCTCTTATTGTTTGCCAAGTTAAATACGCATTTAAATAAACAGCAGCAGCAGCCCGAAGCCTGAGCCTCAGGGCAAACAAATTCACGTGCACAGCCACAGATAGAACAGAGTCTCCTCTGTTGACGATGATGATGAGGTGGTTGATAAGGTGGCTGACGATGTGCTGGTGTGATAACAGGTTCCCCGGAGGGTGGCCAATTGAATGTTTACCCTTCTGCTTAATTTGCCACAAAACTTGCGGATTCTTTTGGCTTTTGTGGTTAGCTGTGGGGGAGGAGGGTGAAAGAGAGAGAGAGAGAGAGAGTGAGGGTCATTTGATCAGCTGACACCTGAACACACCTGAGCTGTGCTCTAATAGCTATTGATGCACGGCCCAGCGTGGCTACCAATGCTACGCCGAACCCTGCTTCGATTCGATCCTAATCCATGCTGACAGTCGGCAGCAGAGCCTCCTTTCTCGGAGCGGCAGGTCCTTACCACGTTGTTGACATGAAACTGTAACTGAAACTGAAACCTCGATGAAAAACTGGTTTCGAATCTGCTCAGACTTTGATTTTAACACACACGACGTCGGTTCAGTTTGACCTGAAATTCCCAGCGCTGATGTAAGCTGATATGGGGGGAGGTCTATAAAATATGTACATCCAGATACTCCATATATCAGATCACTCTGCAAGCCTTTACACTCAACTGAGTCCGTCAATGCGTGAATTTCGGGTTTTTGGGCGTGTGAACTTTTTGACTTCAATTGCGTTTGGATGCGGGCTAACTCTGCGCTTTTTGTGTAGCCTGTCTTAAAGCTTAATTCCATAATATTTCCTAATCATAATTCCCCTGTCTTGTGTGCAGTTTTCTGCTGCCTCTTGGGCTGACTGCTGCAACCACAAATCGTAGTGTCAAATGACAACTCAAACTATTCACAATTGCGCGACAAGAGCAACGATCGATCGATAGATAGGCAGAGCTACGCTCAAACGTCATTGGTTGGAACTGAGCAGCGACAGATACAAAGACATACAAAGATACATATGCAGCTACAAGATACAGAAGCATAATCAGAGTTAGCCAGCCAAAAGGGGGGTTGGGGTTCTGTCGTCAGAAACGCATTTAACCACAAAAGGAAGGAATGAAACGAAGGAAGCAAAAGCAAAAAGCAAAAGCAGAAGCAGAAGCAGAATGCCGACCAAGACGATCGATCAATGGTTGCCCAGCACACAGAGCTGTGTCCCCGCGCCCAACCCCTTTGCAGCCCTTTCCTTCTGCACATCCCCCAGCTCTGGTTGGTGTCTGGTGTCGAGCCGTACAGATATTGGGTGACAAATAAAAACTACTGAAAACTGCTGCCGCTGTTGCCGCTGCTGCTACGTATGAATGGGCTTGGAACTACCATGGGGGGGGAGATCGGTGTCGAGTGCAGTGGATGGAGGGTACAGCGGTACAGGGTAGTAGCCGCAAAAGCCGGCACTGCCGTAGACGGAGCGCATTGGCTGGCCGTCGCATTGTGGTGGTTGTTGGCCAGGGGATGGCCAGGGAATGGTATGGGAATGGGATGTGCAGTGTGTGTTTGCCTCTCATGTCGGTACTTGGCTTGGCTTGGCTTGGCTACTTGTGTCATTATACCCTCCCCCCCTGCTCGTACGTTCGTATCTCTGCGAGAGTGTGAGCGAGAGTGTGGGACTTGGACTGCGACTGTTGTTGTTGTTGTTGTTGGCGGCCCTGTCTTTTGCGCCCTTTTGTCGCTTGTTTTGTAATTAAGTGAGTATTTTTTTTGTCTGCTGCTGCTGCTACTGCTGCTTCTTCTTCCTCTGTGGTTGTCGCTTTTGCTGCCAGTCGATACAATATTGGACTGAGACGCCTCGCACCGGGACTGACAATTAGTTGCCGTCTTATGCTCGTCGCCAAAAGTCGTAGTCGTCGTCGTCGTCGTCGTCGTCGCTCCTTGCCCCGCACACGGCGCTCAACTGAATCCGACTCAGAACTCAAAGTTTGCACAACGCTATCCACACACACAGCAAAAGTCATACCAGAAATATTCCCCACCGATCGTGTAATATTCGGCATCAAAATCATCGAAATCTAACAACAAATCTTTGTGTTAAGCTGTGAATGTGTACCACAGATCATGAGATCGATTCATCTATTCAGAAGGTGCGAGCTTGGAAAAGTATTTTAAAATCCTCAGTTAAAACAGAACCAATCAATAATAAAATCATCGATCAGTGAAAAATCATTTGACACACGAAAAAACATGATCAACCCATGGATAACAAATATTGTTACTGATTCAAGATCTTATCGATCGAAAAGAAACTTGTGGTTCCACGATTATTCTGGAAAATAAAAATACATTTTCAAAAATGATCGATATTGAAATAAATTAGCTTAGAAATTTCAAAGTTCAGGGATAGATTGAAAACGTTTTTAAGTTTTAATAAATGAAGTAAAATGTTTGTCAGTGTTTTTTAAGATTTAGTTGTAGGAACAACTTTTGGTAACAAAATTTGTATAAATAAATTTGCAAACTTTGTGTTTGATTAAAACACAAAATATGTATAATTGAATCATATATTTATACTTTCATTTATACTTGATGCTTACTACTCAATAAAAATGGAATTTCTGTTGTTGGTCACTTGAAAATGTATTTCATCCTTGACTAAAGCTAACCAGACAACGGAAATTAATTTATGCTCGAACTTGATCAGAAACATTTCAAAATTGGACATGATCTATCGAAAATTAGATCAATATTTACTAGAAAAATTCCTTGTAATTAGAGGAGGAAAGAACAAGTGTTTCCGTTTTTTGTTTTTAACCTTTTTCAAAACAAAAACATTTGTTGTTGTATTGTTAAATAGTGTCCTTGATACCCTTGGTAATTTGGTACACTTCTGGAGGATATTGCAGGGTTCATTGCAATTTGAAAGAGTTTTAAGTATTCTTGAAAAATATCAAGGTACTCACAGGATAACTTGTCGTCTTAATCGAGTCTTCTATTTAGTCTGTCAACTGTCACAGTCAACTGGGCTACTAAAGCTTTTAGCTTCGTTTTTTTCTTTCCTTATTTAAATATGAGTGGAAAGGAGTGAGAGAAATCTTACACATAACTTGCTCTGCATACTGTCCTGCAAATTAATGAAAGAAATCAGGGCCCAATCCATTCAGAAGATATGTACATTAAATGTACAAATATTTACATATTTACATAGCCAATAGCCAACATGCAACTACAAATGATTGATTTAGGATAACTGAACACCGAAGCATGCACCGCTTTGCCAGTTCATTAATTTTTAATTGATTTTTCAGTTGGAAATTAAGGCCTCAATATGAAGCGTAGGAAAAGCAGAAACAAAACGCCAAACGCCGATTTTAAACGTTCCAGAGCTGGAGTCATGTCATGGGATTGTTATATAAAGGTTCCAGACTCTTGAACATAATTCTGGGTGAGTGTCCGTGAGTTATGGCAGCAGCAGCAACAGCAGAAACACACAGAAACACAGATGCAGAGGGAGAGCGAGCGAGAGCAAAGCAAATGGCGTGCCAGCATTCGACTGTTTATTCGCGTCTGTGTGTTTGTGTGTCTGTGTGCGCGTGCTAGTGGTGCGCGCCTCGAGGGGCGGAGTTACGCTGAGCGCACAGTGGTTACCGTTAGGTGGGAACGCGTGCAAAAGTAGTAGCTTGGCTTTTGGGCATCTCTAACAGCTTTCGGTTTTTCGTTGCATGTGCCTGTACCGTTACCTGCGCAGATTCCCTGGAAGATCAAGAGGGTGGAGCTATGTACATATCGTGCGATGTCTCAAACGGAGGTCCCGTGGAACCAGAAACGGGCTATGTGCCCAACAATCCCTTATTCGGCCTGGCGCTGGACAGTCCGCAGGTATTTCCATTTCACCGTTCGTCCTGTCAAGTGCTAATCACGCGTCTCGCGCCTTCCGTCCGTCCATCCACAGCAAGAGTGCGCTGCATCCTGCGTCGGCTGCCTGTCCTGCCAAGGCAACACCGCCCTGCCCATCTCATCGCTCACCAGCAGCGACTTTGACTGCGGCGGCTGCTTCGATCCCACCATCGGTGTCGGCATCGGCATCGGCATTGGCGGCGTCGGCGGCCACATCCAGATCAACACCACACCGCCGGCGAGCAGCGGCAGCAATCTAACGGGCACGGGCGCCGGTAGCGGCGGCAATAACGCCGGCAACGGCAGCAACAGCTACTGGAGCACCGACGAGATGGCATCCACATTCCCCGGCCTGCCGCCCCTGGACATTGATCCGCTGCCCAGCCTGTTTCCCTTCTCACCGTGCGGCGCCTCCTACAACTTTGCGGGCAATCCGCATCAGGCCTCGCTCTCCTACACCGTCCATCCCCACCAGATGCTCATCTCGCCCAACGGCGGCCAGCAGCACGGGCATGGCAATCACCAGTCGCAGCATCAGCATCATCAGCACCAGCACCTGCACTCGCAACCGACGCAGAACCAGCCATCACACGGCGGCAATGCGCTCCTCCAGGGCAGTGGCTCCTCCAACGGCGGTGGCCCCGGCAGCGGTTCGTGCTACTATGAGGCGGGACCCAGTGCACCCACAGCCGCAGCAGCCATGTATCCCAGCATGAGTGTGAACGTCAGCATGAACATGACCATGCACCACGGCTATGGGGCAGCCGACGGCACGGGCGTGCCCATGCAGTGCTCCCAAATGAACTGGACGCCGCCGAGCAGCTCCTCTGCGGTGAATGTGCTCTATCCGCCGCTGCTGAGTCCCACCCACTACCCCGCCTCGGCCACGTACTCCTTCACGGCGGACTTTCGGGCGCCTGTGCCTACGCCCACGGCACTGGGAACTCTGCCATCGCTCACAGTGGGTGACAAGGAGTCGCCGTCGCCGCCTGCCACCAGCACAGCCGCCGCTCTGGGCTACTATGGCGCAGGTGTGGGTGGTGGGCAGAGCTACACGCCGCCACACAAGAGTCCCGGCAGTGGGTACCAGGTGGGTGCCTCATCCCTGGGCCTGGGATTGTCGGCCTTCGATGATGACGGGGAGGACAGCACCGAGGATGGGGAGGGCAGCGCCGGCGGTGATTTAAAGCCGAATCTGTGTCGGCTGTGTGGAAAAACGTACGCACGGCCCAGCACACTGAAGACGCACCTACGCACGCACTCGGGGGAGCGGCCATATCGATGTCCGGACTGCAACAAGAGCTTCTCCCAGGCCGCCAACCTGACGGCACACGTACGCACACACACCGGCCAGAAGCCGTTCCGCTGTCCCATTTGTGATAGACGCTTCTCGCAGAGCTCCAGCGTCACCACGCACATGCGCACGCACTCCGGGGAGCGGCCATACCGTTGCTCCTCCTGCAAGAAATCCTTCTCGGACAGCTCCACCCTGACCAAGCATCTGCGCATCCACAGCGGCGAGAAGCCCTACCAGTGCAAGTTGTGTCTGCTCAGGTGAGTTTTTGTCTCCACTGGAACAGGAACTGGAACTCATTCTCCATCTCCATCCCACAAACAGATTCTCGCAGTCGGGCAATCTCAATCGGCACATGCGCGTTCATGGGAACAACAATAATAATAATAATGGCAGCAGCAGCGGCAATGGCAGCAACGGTGGTGGCAGCAGCAGCCTCCTCACATGACAAAAGCCACGCAGTGCCGGCGGTTTTCAACACTATCACCCCCCGCACCACCACCAGCACACAAATCTACATCAAGTGCACCACCAGCATCCGGCACATCAGCACCACCATCACCACGCCCACGCCCACTCGCACATGGGCAACTATGACTACGGGAACTACAGCATCGGCGATTACACTCCACCCGGCGCCACACAAAACTATTCAGGGTATTATTTCTGCGCACTCAACAAGCCGCCCAAGTTTGAGCGTTTCTACTAGAGCCACCCACACATAGGTGATGTAATAGCGTAATATAAATATAAATACAGTAAAAAAATATAGGTAGCATCTACCTGGTACACGCCCAGGAACAAAGTTCCATGAAAATGGAACAAATTCGCAGCTTGCAAAAACAATTTTTCCATTGGTTTCAGCAAGGAAAGTTCTGCAAAGATTTATTAACACTGAAATTAATGCAAATATTAAGGGTACCCTTGACACCGTTTCTGATGGGAACTAATCTTGAAATCAAACGCAAAACAAAATTAATTCGCATTTAAAATAGAATCCCAAATTGTATAAAAACGTTAACTATGCAGAGAGCCCTCAAAGTTCCGCCCCAGAATGCAGAATGCAAAATGCTCAAATTGAAGTTTCTGTTGGATCGATGAGGATAATTAAACAAATAAAACGACGGATAATGGTCTAGCTCTAAGTGCTTCACTGTACATACATACATATACATATACATACACATATTGTATTTATTATATTCGCATAGCATTCATTTAGAGTACACTCGTACGTACATGTAGGGTAGTTGAAAAACACGCATAATTCTATTCAAAACAAAAATTAGCCAACGAAGTAGACATTAAGTCGGAAGGAATCATCACACAGCAGCACCCAAAACGAGAAATATGACACACACACACACACATACACACTTACAGGTTAATCATAAATTTAATATTTAATGTTTAAGTTTAAATTTAGGACAGGTGCTTTGATTGGCGTTTCGTTAGCGTATGCCGAAGCAAATTATGAATAAATATCGAAAAGTATTTGTAAAGTTACTAAGAAATTATATACACACAAAAAGACTAGCCGCAACTTTATTTTGACATCTAAGCCTGTCAAAAGCTGACATCCATCGTTATTTTTTGTCAAATAATTTTTTGTGGTTATGGCAGAGCAGAATTTACCGCTCGACGAATCTCTCGGCGAAGGGTAACCACTTGACGGTGGGTTTTTTGGAAGTTCTGGAAGTTCACTCTCCTTTTTCCCCAGCTTAATGGAAGTCTGTATGTCCTTGGGTCTCAGCTTGGTGCTGGAGTACATTAAGCAGTCTGAGACGAACGAACCTCAGTCTTTGCCGCAGGATGCGAAAAAGGCAATATACTCGGCTCCGCTCAGCGTAGAACATCCGCGTCATCAACTGCGCGAGAACCAAATGGTTCGCTTCTACAATTGCCTTTTCTGTCCGGAAGTGTTCGCCAGCCGCTATGATCGCAACACGCATCATAAGATTCACCAGGAAAAGGAGAATGTACCACAGTTCAATTGCGATTGGAATCGTTGCACTCGCAGCTTCGAAACCGAGTAAATTGAGTGCCCCAGACTGAAAAGGAAACCTAAACTATTTCTTGCCTTTTGTTAGACTGAATTTGTGGAGACATCAACGCTCGATGGAACACCATCGCTGGACAGCGACTTGCTGGCGCTGCAAGAGGACTTACCCGAACTTAAAGACTCAAATGGCACACACAAAATCAAAAAGATGCCATGAAAAACACGAATAGAATAGGTTGGAAAACACTCTATTTGGCAGTAAACAAAGACAAATGACAAAATGTTCAAAATATGTTATCAATTAAATAAACGGCCTCCGTGTCGCTGCCGCACAGCAGCCGCGAGCCATTCGTATCGAAGGAGTTGATAGATTTGCGAATTTTTTCCAGCACTCCGTTGACACTGATTAGCGAGCGGACACGGTCGCCGCTCAGCCAGGCGCTGGAGCCATCCTGGAGGTTTCGCTCGCCGATCAGCTTGTTCTCCGTCCACATCCAGACCACGCCAGCCTCGGCGGCTGTAAACACCTTGGATGGGTCCTTGCGATGGAAGCCAATGTCCGTGATGGGACTGTCGTGTGCGCTCAGATACGAGGCAGGGCCCTGCAAGTTGCGCAGATCCCACACCGTTATGGAGCCCTCCTCCGTGCCGCAGAGCAGAATGTGCTGCTGCATGGGATGTGTGCTCATAGCGGAAACGAAGTTGGAACTTTTCTCATCCTCGCTGGCCACTCCGACGAATAGTTTTGGCTGAGCCGCTGTGGCAGCGCGTGCATCCAGCACTCGGATGATGCCCATGCGATTGGCCGCGACCAGCTGCTGCTGGCTGATGTAGCACACCGAGAGCAGCGACATGCTGTCTGCTTCTATGGTGCGCTTTACTTGCTTCACGTTGCTGGCATTCATTATGTTGACGCAGCCGTCCTCGCCCACGGTGGCAATGTCGCCGCCATACACGGAAAGGCCGGTGCAGGGTGCCGATTTGTTGGAGTACCTAAAGTAGTGCAATCGTTCGCTGCGTGCTGTGCGCTGCAGCTGATCCTCCTCCACGGCACGGTGCACATTCATCAAACTCATGTGTCCTGGGAGGGGGGAGGGAATGTCGTTAGTTTCGGCTGCAAATCTGTCCATAGACACAACCCACCGTCGGCGCAGCTCACGGCCAATGTGTTTTTGTCCACGAACTCCATGGCTGTGACGTCTGCCTCCATGTCCACCTTGTCGTTGCAGCGCGGAATGTAGTCCACACTGGTGTCCGCGTACTGGTTCGACTGCAGGCGGTACAAACGCACAAAGTTGTGGTCCATGTCCCAGCTGCCGGTCACGAAGCGATCGCTCTGTTGCAGCTGCTCCGGGAGCCACCGCACGGCAGATATCTTCTCCGATACAAAGTGGGACGAGACCTTTGGTAAAGACATTTTATTTTTTAGCTGCTTTCACTCGGAATATGAATATAAACAAAAATGTTTTGGCCAATGCGGCTTTTGTGAGTAGTGTTGGCTACTGAGCTATTTTAGTATTTTAGTGGCACTCAGTATTTCATATGTGGGTGTAAGTATTTCATCGTTTGAATTGCTACATCCACACTTAGTTTTAGGCGGGAAAACATTAAGACACTTCTTTGAACCTCATTTAGTTAGGAATCCAATTAAAGAAAGTTATGAAAACTAGCCAATCTTATGGAAAATTGATCATCAATCAGATACAATTATACTTTCAATGTAGTGAGTCTTAACTAGCTGGCAATGTTAAATATAATATCAAAATCAAGGGAAATGATTTTATTTGCGGTATGTTTAGGTGTTGAAAATTGATATTTTGGTATTTTTGATGGATAAATGCGCGGTCGCACTTTGTTTTTGGCGGGAAATAAATAAACAAAGAAAAATTCGTAAGCAAGCGGCTGATAATGGATAAATTCTTAATAAAAATGCCAATCAAAGCTAAAAACAATGAAATACCAGATCAGGTATGCAATTAATCAATGTAATTAATGTGTTGTATTTGTAAACAACTACTTTGTGTTGCAGAAATCGGTTATTAAAAAGGAAATCCCCCAGGCGAAGAAAAACACTCCTGTGCAGGCAAGCCACTCCCTGTTCATTCATGTTTTCCCTCAGTTATCTGACTTACTATTACTTCGTCTCAGGCTAAAGAGAAGGAAAACGCCCAGGAGAACGATACGCCAAAGCAGGGCAAAGCGGGAAGAGCAGCCAAGCCAGCGGCCAAGCGAAAGAATCTCGATACGCCCGAAGTGGTAAGCAAAATAGTTCAAAACGTGCCATGAAATGAAAATGTATTTGAAAATATATGTGGCTTGCAGAAAAAGGAAATGGATACGGCAGAGAGCGAGAACCCGCCCAAGCGTCGCAGCGGCCGCGCAACTCGAAGCACGCGCTCCATGGCCGAGGAGGGCACACCCTCGCCGGAGAAGGTTGCGCCCGAAAAGATGCCGTTTATCAAGTACACCGGCGCGATCAAGTACTACACAGATAACCAGGACATTGCTGCATCCGCTGATGATGTGATGTAGGTCCTAAAGTCCACAAGGAAGCAAAGAACTATTTAACTTATTTATGTTTCCTTCAGGCAATGGGTGAACCAACAGACCGATGTGGATGTGGTGCCCATGGCCTTCGACATGGAGTGGCCCTTCTCCTTCCAGACCGGACCCGGCAAATCCTCGGTGATACAAATCTGCGTGGACGAAAAGTGCTGCTACGTCTATCAGTTGAGCAATTTGAAGAAACTGCCAGCGGCCCTGGTGGCCCTGATCAATCATCCCAAGGTGCGGCTGCATGGCGTCAACATCAAAGCGTGAGTGTGCCAACTCTTAGCCAAAATTCCCATTCTAATTAATTCCAAACCTTGCAGGGACTTTCGCAAGTTGGAGCGTGACTTTCCCGAGGTGTCCGCCGATGCACTCATCGAGAAATGCGTCGATCTGGGCGTGTGGTGCAATGAGGTGTGCGAGACCGGCGGCCGCTGGAGTCTGGAGCGGCTGGCCAACTTCATAGCCAAGCGAGCCATGGACAAGAGCAAGAAGGTGCGCATGAGCAAGTGGCATGTCATACCACTCGACGAGAATCAACTGATGTACGCGGCCATTGATGTCTATGTGGGTAGAGCCATTGTCCATAACAAAAACAGTTTGGTTGAGTATTTGTTTCTCTTGCAGATTGGACAAGTCATCTATCGCGAGCTGGAGCAGCGCCAGAAGCAAAAACTGATTAATGAATTGGAGTTTAAGCGGCAGAATGGAGAGGCTGCCTTTAAAGCAGTCAAAGGTCTGGGTGAAACATTTCTCTCAAAGATCAATGAAATAACATTGTGAGGGGAGAGACTTGCAACATTTTGGAACTATTATCTTGCAGCAAGGTGGGACTAGTATTTTATGGGCTGTACTGTACTTGTGGCTTAGGAAATTTCTATCAAATTTATTTACAACTTTTAATGATCGAATAGCCAACAAATTGTAATCCCCGCTGCATGCGCTGACTGATGTTAAGCCCAATTTACTTTAAGTTTTTTTCACTTTATTTTCTACATTTTGTAACTTGCAATAAATTTTAATTCGTCAATTCCATAATAACTGACTAAACATGAACACAGTTGTGTGATGGGAGCAGGAGCTGGATCAGGAGCAGAAGCAGGTTGGCTTCATTTGAATTCCGGACGACGCGCATGTATGGCATCCAATTTGCGTTTAATTAAATTATTCTCCAGATTTATCTGTCGCTGATATTTCTTTCGGTTCACGGCTGCGCTCGTAAGTTGCATTGCCTGCTGCTGCTGCTGGTACAGAATGGAATGGAACGGAGTGGAGTGGAATGGAATGGAATGTTGGCACACATCTCGTACTCACCGTGGAAGACGCTTTGCCGTTGCACTTCGTGGCGCTCGTGCTGGCTTTGATGTGCACCGTCGGCTTGACCGCCATCATCTTCTGCAGCAGAATGTGATTCTGACGCTCGATTATGCGCATCTGCTCATTGGTGAAGCTGAAGTTCTTGCGTCCCAGATTCTTGTAGCTGTCAAGCAGGCAATGGATTAGTAGAACATCAAAGGCTTGACTCTCTTCTCCACTCACTTCATTTTATCCGTTGATGAGCGCGAACGCGTGACATTGCTGGTGTAGCTGCTGGGCGTTGCGCTGCAAATTGTTCGCTGGTACTCGGGTGGCCGCCGCTGGTGCGGATGCCGCATCAGGCCATCCCCCTGGCCGCACTCGTCCACATAGAAGCCACCATCCAGCAGCGTTTCTGGCTGTTGCTCCGTTTCCATGTAGTCCGAGCTGGAGGGACAGCGGCAACGGCCGTAACCCTGTGGAGTCATTCCCTTCGTTTCACTGCTATCACAGCTGCGAGCGCTCGCCAGGCTCGACTCCGCCGTCGTCGATTGAGCGTCCTCCACTCTCGCGCTGCCCGCACGCAGCCTGTCCGTTTCCATGCCCAGCCCCTCCATTGCTCGAGTGCGAATTGTCTTCATGATCATCGCGGACATGTGGTTCATCTGGTGTTCCAGTAGCTTAATGGGCGTTGACTTATGGGCAGGTCCCATCAGCTTACTGTCTGCGATGCTCATCTCGTTGAGAAATTGCTCCAGCTGTTCCATGGGCGGCATTGCCGCTGCGAGTTGCTCCGCAGTTAGCATAAATTTGTCTGCTGTCTTCTCATCAGTCTCAATGCCCGTTTCCGTTTCCGTTTCGTTGATTGCCTCGAGCCTCGTCTTTAAATGCAGCTGCGTTGGTTCCTTGCCATTGATAAGGGTTCTGTCCGATAGGAGGCTGCGCTCGCTGCTGTTGTCGCTGTCATCGGCCAAAGTGTAGAAATCGTGAGCTGCAGCTGCAATGGGTTCAGGCTCAGGCTGAGGCTCCTCCTCGCTCTCTTCCGGCTGATACACTTCGACATCGGAGCCTTCTTCCTGGTCGCTCTCTCCATTTGCTTCTTCCTCTGACTCGAAGGCGCCTTCGCTTTCTTGCTCCTCCACTTCCTCTTCCTCTTCTTGCTCTTCTTGCTCTTCTTGCTCTTCTTGCTCTTCTTGCTCCTCCTCTGCGTCTTCTTCCAGTATTTCCAGCACGTCGCCATACTTCTTGTCATCTACCTGCTCTTCATCGTCCACTTCCTCTGAATCGTCTGAATCGCTGCTGGCCACGCTCTTTCGGTACCTGTCACTGCCTGGCTTTAGCGTACGCCCCGAATCCGGATCCTCATCCGGATCCTCATCCTCCTCCAGCTCCACCGATGTGTCCATGCCGAGTGCCAACGGATTCACCTCCGCCACCGTCTTCGTGACAACCACCTGGCTCTCTTCGTCGGACGAGGAGCTGGGATACGTTGGCATCTTCTGGCGTGCGCGGGCGCGCAGCAACTGCCGACGGGCATGTGGCTGTGGGAGGGACGGGGCATTGGAGTTGGTCTCTAGAGTAAACTCGTTGATGGTGAGTTCCTGTGGGGCATTAGGCACACTCTCCTCCTGACTTACGTTTCCCAGCAGGAACTCCATCTTGGGATCGATTTCGGGTTCGGTATCCTCGGTGCCATCGGTATCATCGCTATATTCCAGGATGTCATCGCAGACATCATCGTCGTCATCGCTGTCCTCTTCGTTATTGTTATTGTTATTGTTTTTGTCTTTTTCCTGCTCCTCTTCCTGCTCCTCTTCCTGCCCCTCTTCTTGCTCCTCCTCTTCCTGCTCCAGCTCCTCTGCATCCGAGTCCGCCTCAAAGGACTCATCCACATAATAATCCTCATCGAAGTCAGCCATTTTATGCTGCAGACAGCGATGATGTCCGACGATCTCTTTGGTTTTATTTTATAGTGCTGTCCTCTGGATTGTTCAACTCTCGGCTTCTTGTGTGTATTTTTATTTATTTATAAATATTTTTAGCAGAGAACGTTTTTTGGGAATTCGTGTGTCTTTCTGTATTATTTATCGACAACTGCCGAAACTCCAAGTTCGTATTATTGGGAGACCTACAAATTTAAACAGATTTTACTTTGCATGGCCATCTGTGCGTAGTGATTTACATTGTATCTGGGGAATCCTCCCAACTTCTCGCTCGTCACACGCCTTTTGACGGCTGTGATTGACATGTGTGGCGGGCGTGGGGCGTGGGGCGTGGGGCTTGGCCCCGATTTGCTACCTTTCTCCTCGCAATTTTCCCAGTTTTGAGGCTTTTTTTGGGGTAAGCTTATCACATTTCACACACTTTCAACTTTGGTTTTTGGTGGCCTTGCGGTTCGGTTCGACTGCCAGCCTGCCAACCGTCGACTTGTCGGTTGGTCAATGGAAGGCAGGACACCTGCCTGCCTGTCACTCGACACTTTCCACCTGCCACCTGCCGCCTAACGTCTGACCATTTATTTATTATCGCCAGCGGTTGCCTTTGACGACAGAGCAGGCGCACGCGGTTTGTTGGTTGCCTCAGCAGCAAATTTCCGTTCGGGCTGCTGCCACTGGCACTTGTTGGCTCCAACATTTGATAACAATAATAACAAATCTCGTAGTTTTGTCATCATTTTACACCATAGTTCTTTGACAAAACAGCCTGGAAGCATTCTGACCACTTGGAAAGTTAATTATCAGCAGATTACCATTATTCACTTAAATAAACTATTTCCAATCCTTCGCTTACGTTTGCTCCCCTTGTAAAGCTTTCGCCCGGCGCCACTGTGCGGCAGCGCTTTTGCTCTCTCGCAAGCTTTCACTCTCTCGCTCTCAGTTCTTGGGCTGCTCTCTCCTCTCGCCTCTCTCCGCCAAAGTCGCGGGTGCCGCCGCATGGCAGCTTCATTTTGTAAATATTGCGAGCAATATTCGCTCGCAGTGCATCCCGGAGTCATGTGGCAGGAGACTGCGCATGGGCGGAGAGACCGCCACGTGCCGTAAGTTAAGGCGAGAGGCCTGGGAGGTGCTGCGGGTGTGCTGCGGGAGTGCGCTGGGGCATTCTGGCCAGCGGGCACTTCATTTGGCGAAGAAGCTTCGTGGCGTGCGGGCGTGTTGCAGTGCTGGAAAATGCGCGCGTAAACTGTTCAATGATTAGCACACAAAGCGCAAAGCACACCAGCCGAGAATAGAGCCAGAAAACAAGGCGCAAAACATACGAGTGTCGTTCCCCCGTTCCGCTGTTCCGCCCTACCGCCGTTCTGCCGTGTCCGTTGTTCCGCGGCTCCATTCTACCCGTTATCCATCGCCCGGCTATGTGTTTATGAAGTGCGTGAATGAAGTGCCACAAAACGTTGCGGAAACCGTTTGCTGGCCCATAAATTGGCCAGCCTGTACGGGTAGTTTGCCATTTGCCTGCCTTAACCCTGGCCCACAAGTGAAAGTGAAAGTGGCGGCCTTAAAGCGGCTGCCAATTAAGAGTTCGCAGAAGACGCAGCGCCAGGAGGGGAGCGTCAGTGGGGAGCACACGCATGCATGGCCATGGCTTAGCCAGCGATAGCCGCGCTTCGATTTGCTTTCTTCGTTGTTAAATCAATAGAAATAGTTTGTGGGAATTTCTCTGTGTCCCTGCCGCATGGGGAGAGGGGGATGAGGCGTCAAACGTCGACTAAGTAATTGCCAATTGCGTGCCGCTTGTTTACAAGTTTTTTGTTTCACTTTCCCCTCTATAATGTTGGGCTGCAGCAATTTGGCTAAGAGCCTGCGTGGCGTGGCCAGGCCAGGGGCGGGTAGGCAGGTCAAAAGGCGCTGCCACACGACACCAGCCAGCAGGCAGCAGCAGCCACAATGCGGCAAGAGCGACTCAGATTGCCTTGCCTTGGCTTGGGCGTGGGCTTGTGCTGCGTCCCTGAAAGGACTAAGATTAAACCGCCCTGCGGAGCCATAGCCTAGACATAAAACCAACCAAAAATACATTCAGCACGGAGCATTGAACATTTGTGCAACGCCAGCAACCGCCAGGGAACTTGTTGAAAATGAAACACTTTCAAGGGTATGCAGCAAGTCGACAAACTTCACCTAACCTTAGGCCGCTTCTTGGTCGCGTTTTTGTTGTTGTTTGTTTATCGATTTTTGACACTCAACGCCTCGCCATTTGGCTAGCAGCGGTGCAGACCAGCTCGATCCCTGAGCCGGCTAATAACGGCGCAGTAGGCCAGCGTCGTGCGGCAGCTTGAAGTGCGTTGGAAGCAACAGTGGCCAACGGCGGAAAGCGGAAAGCGGAAAGCGAAAACAAGAGCGAGAATTGGCACAGCCCAGCAGTCGGGCAGCCCCTGGCCTCAACTTGAGGCGTATCAAAATAGCAGCCAACACACCCACGCACAACCCTCCAACTTCAAACGCGCTTGGCCTACTTTCCGGGTAATGGGCCTGGGACAGCAGCTACTCCTACTTCTCGAAAGTCCCTCCGCAACCGCAGCCAAGTCAAATGAGGCACACACGCGAGAGAGCGAGGCAGGAGACAGGCTGCATGCAAACAAATGACCAAAGCCCAGGCTCTACACAGTTGAAGCACGGCCACAGACACGAGTTGAGGCACGGGCACGGGCACGGGCACAGCGTTAATCATACGCATCGTGTGCCAATCCGTGTGTCCAGTGAATGCAAAGTCAATCAGCGTTTAATTGACAGCTGCAGTCAGTGGCAGACATGGCCAATAATGGCTGGGCCGAAAACAACAATTAAAACGGCATCCAACTGGCTCTGATGCACACTCGACTGTGGCTGTGGCTGTGGCTTCTGGTCTTACTTAGCAAACTGCTGTGCGGGAGAGATGAGCAAACTCTGTGGAGCAGAGTTACTGTCACTGCGTTAGCATCCCCGACATTGGCCAACGCCAGTTTGGGCGCCACAGGAGCCAAAAGAAAGCGAATTGAAAACCGCAAAAGCATTTCAAACCAGACTTGGCACTTCCATCCAACCCCAAATGGCTTGACTGGCTGCTACTCGAAACTTATCGCGCGATTGCAGATTGTTTCTGCGAGTCTGCCAGCAGCGGCGCCACAAAGTATGCAACGCCAAGTATGCTGCCCCACTGGCCCACAACTCTGCACTTTGCTGGCTCTTTGCACGATATTTTCCAATTAGAACTGCCAAGGGGGGAGGCAGTAGAGGGCCTGGCTGTTTGGTGTCAAACATGCGTGGCGTGGCACGTGAGCGATGCCTCGTTGCCACAGTGCGTGTGTGCGCATGTAAATTACAAAATCGTGCAAAAAAGGCGCCATTAAAAGCGAAAATGCACTTTAATAGTCACAGCGATTAGGGCGCTCATTAAGACGGAAGTGGGAACATTACGCTTGGATCTACGCACGCTCCCCTTTGGCTATAGCCCACGAAATGATCTCAGCGGCAGGAGCATAAGAACACTCTTGTGGCGCTACTCAAACCTTTTCTTGTTTCAATGCAGAATGTGATAGCCTTTGCGCCTCCGCAACTACCCATATTTGGCTACTTTTATCCCTCTATCCTATCCAGCCACATGCTAAGTGTGAAACTCAGCTGAAAAGAACCCCCTAAGCAGCAGCCACTCGCAGCCATTTCCAGCAGCTCCTTGATCGCTTTCGAATACCGCGAATGAGGGCATGCCGAAGGTAATGAAGAATGTTGTGCCTGGCGGGGGGCAGCAATTTAAATTCCCGCTTCGCACCCGTGTCACGCCAAATCGCTCTGCTCTGCTCTGCTCTGCCCTGACTCGCTCCCCCTGGCATTGCGTATACGCCGCGTGCCGCGCTAACTTTTTGTTTACCTGCGTGTGCGTGTGTGTGTGCGTGTGTGTGTGCGTGTTTGTGTGCTTGACATAATTACAGATACGCCTGCTGTGCTTCGCAGTGGCCCAAAGTCGCTGTCGATGCCGTTGATAATGCGGTTGGCGCTGGCTGTGCCAGGAGCGGAGCTCGTGCCAGGCCGTAATTGTCACACGAACGACACTCAATGCGATACCAACAAAAGCGGCAACAACAAATCCAACATTGCCACAACAATATAACAAGCAGCCAACCCAAGAAACAAAAAACAAAAACCAACAAAAGTATTTGCCACCAGCACCACCGGACGGACCCAAAGCCAAGGCCAAGAACGGAACTTTGCGTCATGAAACAACAGAAACAATAGCTGCCACAACCACAGAAATATAATTAACTAAAACCAGCAAGGACAGCAGCAAGTACCAGCGAGAAGAGAGCCCGATCCGAAGATGGTCCTAAGCACCGAATGGTCACAGGTGGAGGTTATCGATCTGATCAACGATGGCAATGGCCTCGGATTCATTCTGGTCGGTGGCCGCAGCACGGGCGTCGTGATCAAGGCCTTGACGCCCGGCGGCGTTGCGGAGCGGGACGGGCGACTGCAGCTGGGCGATCACCTGCTGCAGATCGGGGAGGTGAATCTGCGCGGCTTCAGCTCGGAGCAGGTGGCCACAGTTCTTCGTCAGACCGGAGCTCAGGTGCGTCTGATTGTGGCGCGGCCGATAGAGCCGACTGCCATCGACTACCAAACGCTGGCCAGTCATGCGCCAATTATACCAACTAAGCTCCTCTCCGACCCGGAAGAACTGTCGCGTCATCTCTTCCAGAATCCCAGCTTCTCCATTGCGGCAGCTGTTGCGGCGGCTGCGGCTGCCTCTGGAACTGGAACTGGCGGCTCTGTGGATGTCTCGAGTCTGGTGGGTCTGGTGCGGGGCGGACCAGCGGACGCGGACTCCGATCTGGCCACAGCCGAGCCGCTGGCACACCTCCAGCTGGGCGAGCTGACGGACCTCGCCGACTTCCCCCTGCCGCCCATACCGCCGCACATGATTGGCAGCCACAGCAGCGGATCGATGGACGCCAATGGGCGACAGTGTCCGCGCGACCTGGACATTGTGCCCTTCTCCATACTCTCGCCGCCGCCGCGTCCCGCCCTGCAGCTAGCGCTGGAGCCGCGCTGGAGAACGAGGGACGGGCAGGAGGAGGAGGAGGAGGAGGAGGAGGAGCGGGACGATCGGCATATTGAGACTGTGATAGCCGGCAGCAAACTGTCGGCCGACGAGAAGGAGGAGGACAACGATGACGACGAGAGGGACTCCGCCTCTGCCTCTGGCTCGCCCTCGTACATGGACTCCCCGGAGACGGAGACCTACGTCGTGGAGCTGCACAAGAACGTCTACGGGCTGGGCATTACCGTGGCCGGCTATGTGTGCGAGGAGGAGGACCTGTCCGGCATCTTCGTCAAGAGCATCATCGAGGGCAGCGCCGCAGAGACGAGCGGCCAGATACAGATCAACGATCGCATTGTCGCCGTCGACGGACGCTCCCTGTCCGGCGTGACGAACCACCAGGCCGTGGAGCTGCTGCGCAACACGGACATCGAGGTGCACCTGACGCTGGAGCGTTTCCTGCGCGGTCGCAAGTTCGAGCACCTGCAGGTGGCCCTCACGCAGATGAAGGGACGCAGCGCACCCTGCCCCGCGGACAACGATGGCGACGGACAGTCGCAGCTGTCGATGCCGGGCTCACCCTCGATAGCCACGCTCAGCTGGCTGCCACCCAAGTCCCTCGATGCCGAGTCGATTGCCACCGAGGGTGAGGCGGAGGCAGCCGATGAGGATGAGCCGCCAGAGTTCGGCAATCTCCCAGATCTGCCCTCGCGGGACACCGTCGAGTCGAACATGTCGCACGTGCTGGACCGCAGCGATCACAGTGGACCCGCGACCAAAGCGCCCAGACTGCCCCCTCCGACTCTGACCAATGGCCAGCTGACGCGGAGCAGAAGCCACGGCCTGCCAGCGGCGGCGGATGACAGTGGCAACGACACCGACGAGCAGTGTCCAGAGCCCGGGGCGGACCACGACTTGGAGCCCGATGCCGCACAGAGTCGAACGCCCACCAATGAGCTAGTTGGAGCGGCTCCCATGGGGGTCAAGGGTGAGACTGTGGCTGTGGCTGTGGCTGAGGCCAGTCCGAGTGCCGCCTCGCTGCGCGTGGCCTGGAAAAGTGAGTTTCCCGACAGTGAAATTTTAGTTGCCGAAATAAATAAACTTTCAGGTCTAGGGATCAGCCTCGAGGGCACCGTCGACGTCGAGTGCGGCATTGAGAAGCGTCCGCATCACTACATACGCTCCATACTCGAGGACGGTCCCGTCGGCCGTCAGGGCATCCTGCGGCCCGGCGACGAGCTGCTCCAGGTCAACGAGCACAAGCTCCAGGGACTGCGACACATCGATGTGGTCAAGATCCTCAAGGAGCTGCCCGCGCGCGTTAAGCTCGTGTGTGCGCGCGGCACACGGGTGCCCTCCGTCATCAATACGTCGCAGAATGCGGAGGCCTTCGAGACGCGCAGTCTACTGCCCGGAGGCCATCAGAGCCTGCAGAATTTGCTCAGCAAGGCGCAGTCGGAGAGCTCCCTGTACACGTCCAGCACGGCGACGCTGACGGATGCTGCTGGAGCGGGAGCTGGAGCTGGAGCGGGAGCGGGAGGCAATGGCAGCCAGCAGCGCTCCAAGTCACTGGAGAACGTGTCCGGTTTGGCGCTGTGGAGCTGCGAGGTGACAGCCGTCGACATTGAGAAGACGGAGCAGGGCTTTGGCTTCTCCATACTCGACTACCAGGATCCGCTCGACTCGGAGGGCAGTGTGATTGTGATACGCGGCCTGATACGCGGTGGTGCTGCGGAGGCAACCAACGAGATATATCCCGGCGATCGTCTCATGAGTGTCGGCGAACACCTGCTCCAAGGCCTCGAGCTGGACGAGGCCGTCTCCATACTGAAGGCCATGCCGCCGGGCCTCACGCGTCTCGGCATCTGTCGGCCCCTGTCCACGTCGGACAGCAACAGCAACAGCAACATAGCCTCACCGCTGGGCGACTCGGCCAGCACATAGTGACAGTGGCCACTCCTCGCTGGACGCCCAGACAGAGATCTATTCTCAATGTGTGAGTAGAAAGTTTCGACTCAAATCTGGACACAATTGTCACGCTCTGCCGCTTACTTTTGCTCAATCCATATTTAATATCCATATTGACATTTTCTGCTTCGCTATTTGCTTCGCTGATTGATGCCCGGGGACAGCAGCTGTTTCTGCCTCAAAGCCAAAGTTTATTGAATTGTCAGCTGTCGCACAGGTGCTGACAATTTGCCTTCAAGAATTTCCATGCCTGCCGTTCTCTAATCGGCCGGAAGCCACACCTACCCCCAGCCTTGATGGCTGGTGCCGTGCTGGCATTTCGGGTGTGGTCCCTGCATTTGCGATTCCCATTTTAATTGTTGCCCGGGCAGCCATCTGCCTTGGGTTGGGTTACGCCCAACCGTCTGTCCCTTTGTGCAATGGCTGACCGCTTTTGAAGTTCTTTGTTGCGCATACGCCCCGTGTGTGTGTGCCCTTTTTGTGTCTCCTGTTTTATTGGCTTGTGTTCTGCTGCCACTTCAATGCGTGTCCTTCAATGTCTGCTGATTGCATTTTTCGAGTGTCACAGAGAACTTCGCCTTAATCGGACGCCAAGTCCTTCAACTCTGGAGCTGCCTTTCATTCATGTGAAACGTTAATGAAAGCTCGCAGCAAATTAAAAGCGTTTGACACATGCTCAAAACTTTCAGAGGGAGAGAGACAGAGAGCTAAAAAGGGAGAGAGCAAAGTCGAGTCTCACCGAGGGCTAAGGCCAGGGAAGTTTTCCCTTACCCAAAGGTAAGCCCAAGGCCCAAAGTTGGTGGGGGCTGGTGCGGTGTGGGAGGCTTCTTGACGCATAAATAATTCATGCGTGACAAGACTCCCGCTGCACCCCACCGCTCCCTGACTGGGCCAAGGATAAACTGCAAATTACCACTAATCTCCAGGGGTCAACAGTTCGCTTCGCTGCTCCTCTCTCTCTCGCTCCGTGTAAATCTCATAAATAGTAATCTTCCTAATTGACTCTCGCTCTCGCTGCCTAGTCTTTTCTGGCCTTCTTTCCTATTCATAATTTATACGTTGCCCCCGAAGCTTTTGTTTGAGAAAAATCATTATTTAACAATTGTTGGCCAGGCATAAATTATGCGAAACTTTAACGATTTATGCGCCCGGCGATAGCGCAAAAGTTTCGCAGCTCAAACTACGGAAGAGGAGCGGAGAGTCCCATGCCTTGGTGGCCCACAGCTGGCTGGCAATTAAATAATAAAAAAAGCTTCGCCGGCAATTATAAAAATGTTTGCTACATCTGCACAAAGCCAAAGTGGAATTTTATTTTTCACACAAGCGTAAATCTGTGTACACACGGCAGGTGCACAGGGAGAAAATTAGCTTTGGGAGTTACAGACAAAGGAAGAACCTTTATGGATCGGGCAGTGAATGTCTCATTAATGTTAGCCATAAAAGGAAAACTTTCTACCCGAGCAGCTGCAGCAGAAATTATAGTTTTAAGCTCGACAAAAGTTCTTTAACACTCGAATCCGGGACTCTTGGGCAAAGATGATCTCAAACCCTTTTTTTTTTAGCATTTTTAGTTCCCATATTTGTGCTTGTTTTGCTGTAGAATAAATCCGAAATGCATCTTTATTGCTGAGGTCTTAGGCCTCCGAGTCTTCCCTTATTTTCAACCCATTTTAATTCCCATTTTAAAAATGTTTTCCCCATTTTACACACACTTTTTGCTCAGTGCTATGCCGCATCGTCTGTTGTTATTTGGCCGTTTAATTAATTGGCTATTAAAAGTGTTGAAAATTGAAAACGAAATTCGGTTCAGCAGCAGCAACAATATGGAAACCAAAATTCTCTGGTCAGCAAAGGTCAGGGGCGGGAAGTGGGCAATCGGCGGTACAACCGATTCGGGCGCGTTTTCGAGTGCAAAGTCTTTGTCTTTGCTGCACAAGCAGTTTGATTGAAAGAACTGTGGGAAAGGCATAAACGATGTACGCTAATGTCTGAATGATGTACGTGATATATTTAATTATAAATACCTGCGACCATTAAACGTTGAAGAACTATGAGCAGGAACAGTCGAACGAAGGATTTTGCTGCTGCATTTTAAATATATTCAAGTGAAACGAATTCTCTAGTGTTAACTCAAATATGTAATTATTTGGCGTTGTTAAAACCTTATTTAAAACTTCATAAATTCAAATGAATGTTCTCACGCTGCGGTAATAATTTGCTGGGGAAATATGACCAAATCCCCACTTAACACGTTCAAAATTCAATCTTCCTTCGCCGCAATTGATTTTGTGACGCAACAAAAATTGCATATTTATTTTGCTGATGCCCTCGGGTTCATTGCATTCAAAGTAATACTTAAATAAGCACACTGTCAATTATTGTCAATTATATTATCGAAATATGCATAAAAATGCATCAGGCATTTTGTCTGCGCTGTCCACAGGGCGTATGTGCAACGTGGAGACCACACAATAAATATTCCCACTGCTGACGAATCGCTTTTTGTTGCTTTCTAGCAGTGGCTGTCGACGCCTTTGATCACGTTTTAATTACGCCACAGTCGTCATGCCCCGCCAGCCAGCCAGCCAGCCAGCCAGCGCAATTTTCGCAAATCACAAAATTGTTTATAAATTGCAGTTTAGGGCAGGGACAACAGCAGTGGGATGGGAGCTGCAGCAATGCATTTTAAATCAAATTAATGTATACAATGGCAGGGCTGTCGGACAGTCTGCCAGTTGGGCGGAACAATTGGCCGACAGATGCAGCTCCCGTGGCAGGCAATGCCCATAATCGGGTCACAGAAGGAACGGGGAGGGCGCGCGCGCTCAATTTGACTATTTTACAACTTTACAAATGTAAATGCGAAATGGCAACAACATAATGCCCGAGTCGAACATGTGGGGGTGGCTGGATTAATTTACTGCTGCCTGCCCCACATTGTTGCACGGCATTTTGCATTTTAATTTGCTAATTGCACTGCAAGCAGCAGCCTTAATCAAAGCAAACTCCAAGCTAATTTATGATTTATTTCATTATTTCCATTCAGGCAGCAGCCGGACAGGACAGGGCGTGCATAGATTATTAATTGTAAATATTTGCCCAACAAGGATTCTGATTTTGCTTGCTACGAGAGAAATGTGTAAAGACGCAGCGAAAACAAAAGGCAAAACGGATTTATCAATTTTATTTGGCATGGCATTTGTGCAGAGTGGCAGCAAAGGCAGGAGAATATCTTTTGTGTCAATTTGTGAGTGGTGAGGTGACTGAACCGATGCCAACATGCAAGTAACATGCAATTAAGTCAGGTATCAAGTTCCTGAAGTGCCTGAGAATTGAGAGCACAAAGCTAAGAAATCGACATAGTCAAAGGGTAACAAATGAATGTTTATCGTGTGTGCTTTCGCTTTGTCACATTGCTCATCTTCCTAAACATTCATTTATTTCCATACATATGAAAAGACCAACCATTTCTCGCACAATTACCAAGTGCAGAGTAGAGTTTTGCGTTTTGACTCGAGGCTCTGCGTTTTCTCATTAAAACGGTTGGAGCCTTGACTGTCGGCGCTTGAAGGAAAAACGCATACATATATATTTGCGCATACAAGTATAACAGACGGCAAAAATAATTACGAGAGAACAAAAAACTCATTAAAACGCATTGCACACTGTACCGCAAACATGCCACCAGCGAGCTGCTCTCTAAATATCCACAGAGAGCTGCCGAAGCCTGGCACTGGGACTGGGACTGGGACTGTGGCTGAGCCGAGGTCCTGTTCATGCATGCAAATCTATCAACGTACATAAGCATGTGCCTGGCAGCAGGTTCGCCTTCTGCAGCTGCAGCCCAACTGGTTTGGAAAACTCGGTTATAGCTGGTAACTGAGAAGGGAATGTTGAGGAGAGCAACTCCATTATCATAAGTGCCTCATGTAGAGTGCTCTCCACTTTATGAACACAATAATCAATGAGGTTAGGAACTGCTGAGTGCATTTCAACAGCACAAAACTTCCCATTTTAGACAGAGATTTTCGTTGGCTCGGCTGTTCCCTTTGCTCAGTGCATGACAGGAGCAGGTCCCAACCATTGCGCACATTTATCTAATGCCACAATTGTGTAAATGAGGCAGCTGCCGGAACCCGTGATGTGCTGAGGGGCAACTAAAATGAAGAAACAATAATGTGGCAAGCAAAACATGCACTCCTTCACTCTTCCTCGTTCTCCGCCACCAACTTCCTTTGCAATTGTCGGTGCATGGACTTCCCAGTCGACAACAAGTTGCTGGCTTTATCTTGGCCTATCGACAACATCCTCGCTATGTTCCTCCTCCTCCTCCTGCACTCTCGAGTGCGCTGGAAATGAGCTTTGCTTGCGCTTCCTTTGCTTTCGTTTCTTTTGCTTTTGCTTCCTTTGCTCTTCTACTTATTCGCCTTCTGCGTCTGTTACTTTTTCTTTTTCTCTGGCACTCCCCACACATGGTTTAATTAAACGCCGATAACACCAACAAAGACTTTGCTTTCGCTGCGAAAAAGTTTATTTTTCTCATCTCTTCCACTTATACACAGTGGTGTAGGGTGTGAGGATATTTTGTATTCATACAAAGAACTGAGGTGAATGCGGAAGATGCCGCTACAGTCGCTTCGCCTGTTCGACCCAACAGTAACTGAGATAAAAAGTTTAGAAGATAGGACATCTGGGAAAACAACTATGCCAACTATAATTATGAAAATATAGCATTTAAATGTTATTTCATTGCTATTTATGATGTTTAAATTCATGATTAACTAAGTGATTTTTCGCTCCTCTTTGCGTTGATGTTGCTTTATTCAAAGCCTATCCATATTCAGATTAAATCTGCACCACATTAAGAGCTTCTATTAAGTAATAATCCATTCCGTGTAGCCCGGGGGTGTACTCGTGGTCGGACTTCTCGACGCTAGCGGCCTCTCTGTACTGCTTCGTGTTTTCTTGTTTCTTTTTGCTTGATATTTCGGGGCAGCAGTCGAGTGAAGTGCATAAATTTGTGCTCAG